GGTAGTACCTCCCTGGGTGGTTGTTGTCTACCAACCTACTACCACAGGACGGTAGTAACTCCCTGGGTGGTTGTTGTCTACCAACCTACTACCACAGGACGGTAGTACCTCCCTGGGTGGTTGTCTACCAACCTACTACCACAGGACGGTAGTACCTCCCTGGGTGGTTGTTGTCTACCAACCTACTACCACAGGACGGTAGTACCTCCTGGGTGGTGTTGTCTACCAACCTACTACCACAGGACGGTAGTACCTCCCTGGGTGGTTGTTGTCTACCAAACCTACTACCACAGGATGGTAGTACCTCCTGGGTGGTTGTTGTCTACCAACCTACTACCACAGGACGATAGTACCTCCCTGGGTGGTGTTGTCTACCAACCTACTACCACAGGACGGTAGTACCTCCCTGGGTGGTTGTTGTCTACCAACCTACTACCACAGGACGGTAGTACCTCCCTGGGTGGTTGTTGTCTACCAACCTCCTACCACAGGATGGTAGTACCTCCCTGGGTGGTTGTTGTCTACCAACCTCCTACCACAGGATGGTAGTACCTCCCTGGGTGGTTGTTTTTACCAACCTACTACCACAGGATGGTAGTACCTCCCTGGGTGGTTGTTGTCTACCAACCTACTACCACAGGACAGTAGTACCTCCCTGGGTGGTTGTTGTCTACCAACCTACTACCACAGGACAGTAGTACCTCCCTGGTGGTTGTCTACCAACCTACTACCACAGGATGGTAGTACCTCCCTGGGTGGTTGTTGTCTACCAACCTACTACCACAGGACGGTAGTACCTCCCTGGGTGGTTGTTGTCTACCAACTACTACAACAGGACGGTAGTACCTCCCTGGGTGGTGTTTTCTACAACCTACTACCACAGGATGTGTAGTACCTCCTGGGTGGTTGTTGTCTACCAACCTACTACCACAGGACGGTAGTACCTACCCTGGGTGGTTGTTGTCTACCAAACCTACTACCACAGGACGGTAGTACCTCCCTGGGTGGTTGTTGTCTACCAACTACTACCACAGGACGGTAGTACCTCCCTGGGTGGTTGTTGTCTACCAACCTACTACCACAGGATGGTAGTACCTCCCTGGGTGGTTGTTGTCTACCAACCTACTACCACAGGACGATAGTACCTCCCTGGGTGGTTGTTGTCTACCAACCTACTACCACAGGACGGTAGTACCTCCCTGGGTGGTTGTTGTCTACCAACCTACTACCACAGGACGGTAGTACCTCCCTGGGTGGTTGTTGTCTACCAACCTCCTACCACAGGATGGTAGTACCTCCCTGGGTGGTTGTTGTCTACCAACCTCCTACCACAGGATGGTAGTACCTCCAGGTGGTTGTTTTCTACCAACCTACTACCACAGGATGGTAGTACCTCCCTGGGTGGTTGTTGTCTACCAACCTACTACCACAGGACGATAGTACCTCCCTGGGTGGTTGTTGTCTACCAACCTACTACCACAGGACGGTAGTACCTCCCTGGGTGGTTGTCTACCAACCTACTACCACAGGATGGTAGTACCTCCCTGGGTGGTTGTTGTCTACCAACCTACTACCACAGGACGGTAGTACCTCCCTGGGTGGTTGTTGTCTACCAACCTACTACAACAGGACGGTAGTACCTCCCTGGGTGGTTGTTGTCTACCAACCTACTACCACAGGACGGTAGTACCTCCCTGGGTGGTTGTCTACCAACCTACTACCACAGGATGGTAGTACCTCCCTGGGTGGTTGTTGTCTACCAACCTACTACCACAGGACGGTAGTACCTCCCTGGGTGGTTGTTGTCTACCAACCTACTAACACAGGACGGTAGTACCTCCCTGGGTGGTTGTTGTCTACCAACCTACTACCACAGGACGGTAGTACCTCCCTGGGTGGTTGTTGTCTACCAACCTACTACCACAGGACGGTAGTACCTCCCTGGGTGGTTGTTGTCTACCAACCTACTACCACAGGACGGTAGTACCTCCCTGGGTGGTTGATGTCTACCAACCTACTACCACAGGACGGTAGTACCTCCCTGGGTGGTTGTTGTCTACCAACCTACTACCACAGGACGGTAGTACCTCCTGGGTGGTTGTTGTCTACCAACCTACTACCACAGGACGGTAGTACCTCCCTGGGTGGTTGTTGTCTACCAACCTACTACCACAGGACGGTAGTACCTCCCTGGGTGGTTGTTGTCTACCAACCTACTACCACAGGATGGTAGTACCTCCCTGGGTGGTTGTTGTCTACCAACCTACTACCACAGGACGGTAGTACCTCCCTGGGTGGTTGTTGTCTACCAACCTACTACCACAGGACGGTAGTACCTCCCTGGGTGGTTGTCTACCAACCTACTACCTAGGAATAACTATAGTTATCAGTTATAACTATACCTGAAGTATACCTGGAGTGGGTTTCGGGGGTCAACGCCCCCGCGGCCCGGTCTGAGTCCAGGCCTCATGGTGCATCAGAGCCTGATCAACCAGACTGTCATCAGTAATAAAATAACTATAGTTATCACTTATATAACTTTTCCGTAAGAAATTCTAATTTTTTGAAAAAAAAAATCCCGTCACAGTTTTTATATATGAAACAATGTACAGTGTCTTACAGTATTTTTTTTGATGAGAAAACTTTTCACGATTCATTTTTTTTATAAATTTCAACTTTGTCGATGTTTTTTGTTCATAGAGGAAGAGTTAGAAATTTTGATTTTTTTTTTGTGTCATTCCAACTTTGACATGCGTCATTCCCACTTTGACATGCGTCATTCCCACTCTGACATGCGTCATTCCCACTCTGACATGCGTCATTCCCACTTTGACATGCGTCATTCCCACTTTGACATGCGTCATTCCCACTTTGACATGCGTCATTCCAACTTTGACATGCGTCATTCCCACTTTGACATGCGTCATTCCCACTTTGACATGCGTCATTCCCACTTTGACATGCGTCATTCCCACTTTGACATGCGTCATTCCCACTTTGACATGCATCATTCCCACTTTGACATGCGTCATTCCCACTTTGACATGCGTCATTCCCACTTTGACATGCGTCATTCCCACTTTGACATGCGTCATTCCAACTCTGACATGCGTCATTCCCACTTTGACATGCGTCATTCCAACTCTGACATGCGTCATTCCAACTCTGACATGCGTCATTCCCACTTTGACATGCGTCATTCCCACTTTGACATGCGTCATTCCCACTTTGACATGTGTCATTCCCACTCTGACATGCGTCATTCCCACTTTGACATGCGTCATTCCAACTTTGACATGCGTCATTCCCACTCTGACATGCGTCATTCCCACTTTGACATGCATCATTCCCACTTTGACATACGTCATTCCCACTTTGACATGTGTCATTCCAACTCTGACATGCGTCATTCCCACTTTGACATGCGTCATTCCCACTTTGACATGCGTCATTCCCACTTTGACATGCATCATTCCCACTTTGACATGCGTCATTCCCACTTTGACATGCATCATTCCCACTTTGACATGCGTCATTCCCACTTTGACATGCGTCATTCCCACTTTGACATGCGTCATTCCCACTTTGACATGCATCATTCCCACTTTGACATGCGTCATTCCCACTTTGACATGCATCATTCCCACTTTGACATGCATCATTCCCACTTTGACATGTGTCATTCCCACTTTGACATGCATCATTCCCACTTTGACATGTGTCATTCCAACTCTGACATGCGTCATTCCCACTTTGACATGCGTCATTCCCACTTTGACATGCGTCATTCCCACTTTGACATGCGTCATTCCCACTTTGACATGCATCATTCCCACTTTGACATGCGTCATTCCCACTTTGACATGCATCATTCCCACTTTGACATGTGTCATTCCAACTCTGACATGCGTCATTCCAACTTTGACATGTGTCATTCCAACTCTGACATGCGTCATTCCCACTTTGACATGCGTCATTCCCACTTTGACATGTGTCATTCCAACTCTGACATGCGTCATTCCAACTTTGACATGTGTCATTCCAACTTTGACATGCGTCATTCCAACTTTGACATGCGTCATTCCCACTTTGACATGCGTCATTCCCACTTTGACATGCATCATTCCCACTTTGACATGCGTCATTCCCACTTTGACATGCGTCATTCCCACTTTGACATGCGTCATTCCCACTTTGACATGCGTCATTCCCACTTTGACATGCGTCATTCCCACTTTGACATGCGTCATTCCCACTTTGACATGCGTCATTCCCACTTTGACATGCGTCATTCCAACTTTGACATGCGTCATTCCCACTTTGACATGCGTCATTCCCACTTTGACATGCGTCATTCCAACTTTGACATGCGTCATTCCCACTTTGACATGCGTCATTCCCACTTTGACATGCGTCTTTCCCCACTTTGACATGCGTCATTCCCACTTTGACATGCGTCATTCCCACTTTGACATGCGTCATTCCCACTTTGACATGCGTCATTCCAACTCTGAAACACATCTGCAACTTATGACTATTACTACTGCTACTTTAAATAATACTACTAGTACTACTATTACTACTACTTCTACTACTGCTACTACCCAGCTACCACTACTACTATTGCTACTACTACTACAACTACTAGTACTATTAAAAGCACTACCACTACTGACCCCACCCCTACTATTACTACTACTTCTACTACTGCTACTACCCTGCTACCACTACTACTATAGCTACTACTACTACAACTACTAGTACTATTAAAAGCACTACCACTACTGACCCCACCCCTACTATTACTACTACTTCTACTACAACTACTACCCTGCTACCACTACTACTATTGCTACTACTACTACAACTACTAGTACTATTAAAAGCACTACCACTACTGACCCCACCCCTATTACTACTACTTTTACTACAACTACTACCCTGCTACCACTACTACTATTACTACTACTACTGAGATTAGTGTTGTTTGGTGTCCCCAGGAGTGTTGAGCATCGGTCTGGAGCCCAGCTGGAAGCATCTTATACCACCACGACAGAGAACTGTCTTGTCAGAAGGTCACTGTGTGTCCGAGTGTACCCAGGCTGCCCTGTCTCCCACTGGTGAGTAGAAGGTCACTGTGTGTCCGAGTGTATCCAGGCTGCCCTGTCTCCCACTGGTGAGTAGAAGGTCACTGTGTGTCCGAGTGTACCCAGGCTGCCCTGTCTCCCACTGGTGAGTAGAAGGTCACTGTGTGTCCGAGTGTACCCAGGCTGCCCTGTCTCCCACTGGTGAGTAGAGAGAGAGAGAGAGAGGAGAGAGAGAGAGAAGAGAGAGAGAGAGAGAGAGAGAGAGAGAGAGAGAGAGAGAGAGAGAGAGAGAGAGAGAGAAAGAGAGAGAGAGAGAGAGAGAGAGAGAGAGAGAGAGAGAGAGAGAGAGAGAGAGAGAGAGAGAGGAGAGAGAGAGAGAGAGAGAGAGAGAGGAGAGAGAGAGAGAGAGGAGTTTGATTATCAATAAGGGCCATTAATAACCAGTAAACACACACACAAAAATATGCATACAAATACACATATACAAACACACACACACACACACACACACACACACACAAATAAATCACACTAACAGGCAAACGATAAATAAAAGAAACGAGAGAGAGAGAGAGAGAGGAGAGAGAGAGAGAGAGAGAGAGAGAGAGAGAGAGAGAGAGAGGAGAGAGAGAGAGAGAGAGAGAGAGAGAGAGAGAGAGAGAAAGAGAGAGAGACAAAACAAAAAAGAGCGAACAAAGATAAATCAAAACAAAGGAAGAAGAAAAATCAACAATAGCTACAACAACAACAACAACAGTAGCAGCAGAAACAAAAGAAAGACGTCATATCAACACTTGCGTCTTGTTCCTTCGGTCAGTCGGCCGACAAAGAGAAATTACGTTTATACCTACGAGAAAGCGAATAGTTCGGGCGAACTTCAGTCAGAAGAGGTTGAGAGGAAGAGGGGAACAGAAGAGGGGAGAAGAGAGAGCGGGGAAGTGGGGGAAGTGAAGAGGGAGTGAAGGAGGCGGCGAAGTGTTTTCATGGTAGTGGTGAATTATAGTGGTGGTGGTGCTGACAGAAACAGCGAATTGCCTTTGAAAAACAGCGTTTTGGGTCGAGGTCTGGTTGCTTGTTAGTAGCGGGGGGGGGGGGGGGTTGTAGTAGTGGTGGTGGTGGTCACAGTGGAGGTGGTGGTGGTCATAGTGGTGGTAGCGGTAGTGATGGTGGAGAGGATGGTAGTGGTGGTGGTAATGGTGGTTAGATGGTTGTGATGGTATATTTGTGGAGGAGGATTGTCTTGGCTATATCTTGGCTATGTCTTGGCTATATCTTGGCTATATCTTGGCTATGTCTTGGCTATATCTTGGCTATATCTTGGCTATATCTTGGCTATATCTTAGCTATATCTTGGCTATGTCTTGGCTATATCTTAGCTATATCTTGCTATGTCTTGGCTATATCTTGGCTATGTCTTGGCTATGTCTTGGCTATATCTTGGCTATATCTTGGCTATATCTTGGCTATGTCTTGGCTATATCTTGGCTATATCTTGGCTATGTCTTGGCTATATCTTGGCTATATCTTGGCTATATCTTGGCTATGTCTTGGCTATATCTTGGCTATATCTCGGCTATATCTTGGCTATATCTTGGCTATATCTTGGCTATATCTTGACTATATCTCGGCTATATGTTGGCTATATCTTGGCAGAAGGTAGTGTTTACCCTGGCCACAAGACCACCATTAATAAGCTACCGCAGTAATGTAATAAGCGATTGAAATGATCTATCGTAGTGGTGTAGTGAGAACAATATCTGACAATACTGGAATGTCTCTCATTAGCTCTATATGCAATGTGCGGCTCATCTTCTGTGGGTTCCTCCTGTGGTATGTCTGTTTCGTAGCGTTTTTGGTGCAATGTTTGTTCCATATAGAAAACAGACGACTCTGATGTGTGTAATATATACAACAGACGTCTGTTATCTCTGTTGTGTGTAATATACAAAACAAACAGATAACAACACAAGCAGACTTAGCTTTCACGGTGACAAAACTTAGCTTTTTATAGAGCTTTATCTAGAATTGTAGATATAAATCCAGATATACTCCTGTAAACTCTTTTGAGGCCTAGTTCCTAAAAATTTGTGTATCCATATGCTCTTGCACTACCATCCACTGGACGGATATGAGGTGCACAAAGTATCCACTACCATCCACTGGATGGATATGAGGTGCACAAAGTATCCACTACCATCCACTGGATGGATATGAGGTACACAAAGTATCCACTACCATCCACTGGACGGATATGAGGTACACAAAGTATCCACTACCATCCACTGGACGGATATGAGGTACACAAAGTATCCACTACCATCCACTGGATGGATATGAGGTACACAAAGTATCCACTACCATCCACTGGACGGATATGAGGTACACAAAGCAGCCACTACCATCCACAGGATGGATATGAGGTACACAAAGTACCATGGGTGTAACATGGAGATGAACTATGTTCATGTACCATGGAGAGGAACCTCATGACCATTGTCAGGTCACAACTGAGGCGAGAAAATAAGAGAAGGCTGGAAGACAGTGTGTGCTGGAACGAAGCAGCTACAGTATTAGGAGAGAAAAGGTAAGGGAAGCGGTAGAACCATTGCAAGATTACGAACGCTGATGTGGTCAGTACAATTTCGTAAAGGCAAACCACGGAACGGGTGGGGGTTGAACCCTTGGCAAGTGAGTCATAAATCTCACAGGACAGTGCGTTAACCACTGGGCCAGATGGCTGTAATAAGATTCATCCAACTAGGTATATTTCTATACACTATAGGAAAGTTATCATGGGCCACCACTGTGACCATAAATACAAGTTTTTTAACAGACGAATCCCACACCAGCGTGGCTGTGTCATACTCTAGCTCGAGTCCCTTCAAAAGCTACCACCATGATTCACGAAATCCCTACACGACTGCAAACAAATCACAGAACGGGTGGGATTTAAACCCATAGCATTTGAAAGTTAAGACACATGTGCAACATCTGGATATCTTTATTGTGGACGTTTCGCCATCCAGTGGCTTTATTAATACAGATTCTAGGACATAATTAGAAGACAGAACTATATACAAAAGATGAGGTAATCAGTCCCTCAGCCCTGGAGTTAGTGTTGACAGCATCGTGGTGGCGGAGAGTCTGGAGCAAAGGCAAGAAGACTGGCGGTTATATAGGCGTCAGTGGATAGGGACGTGTAGCAGACGAGGGCATAGTCACTGGTAGGCGGGATTCCCCAGTGGAAGTAGGTCCTACCCGAAGGGATTGGTTAGTTGTAGCAGCCGTGAAGAAGGTCTTCTAGATGTCCTCTGAACCTAGATTCCATGATGCTGCAGTGTCTGACAAGTTGTACAAGAAAGGTATAAAATACCGACAATATGAAAGTTAAGACAAATGTGCAACATCTGGATATCTTTATTGTAGACGTTTCGCCCTCCAGTGGCTTTATCAATACAGATCCTAGCATTTGAGAATGCTATTATGGTGTGATAGCACAAACTCAAAAGTTATAACAAAAAAAGGCTAATATACATTTAATTTTCCGACGAATGGAACACAGTAAACAAAAGAAAAATTGAACAAGAGCGAGGTAAAAAGTTGGGTACTCCAAGGCACTGCCCTGGTACCTCTGCTGTTTTATCTTCATGACTTAGATAACAAATCTATGAAGGCAGGAAAACTCTCCAATTATATTTCAGGTATATCACAGCTATAGGAAGGAGATCAAGTACTGGGCAGGAAAAGCAGCTACAGGGAGGAAGGGCAAGTGTAGGGTAAGGGAACCAGCTATAGGAAGGGAGGGTAAGTGTAAAGTAAGGGAACCAGCTATAGGAAGGGAGGGCAAGTGTAAAGTAAGGGATCCAGCTATAGGAAGGGAGGGCAAGTGTAAAGTAAGGGAACCAGCTTTAGGAAGGGAGGGTAAGTGTAAAGTAAGGGAACCAGCTTTAGGAAGGGAGGGTAAGTGTAAAGTAAGGGAACCAGCTTTAGGAAGGGAGGGTAAGTGTAAAGTAAGGGAACCAGCTTTAGGAAAGGAGGGTAAGTGTAAAGTAAGGGAACCAGCTATAGGAAGGGAGGGTAAGTGTAAAGTAAGGGAACCAGCTATAGGAAAGGAGGGTAAGTGTAAAGTAAGGGAACCAGCTTTAGGAAGGGAGGGTAAGTGTAAAGTAAGGGAACCAGCTTTAGGAAGGGAGGGTAAGTGTAAAGTAAGGGAACCAGCTTTAGGAAGGGAGGGTAAGTGTAAAGTAAGGGAACCAGCTTTAGGAAGGGAGGGTAAGTGTAAAGTAAGGGAACCAGCTATAGGTAGAAAGGGCAAGTGTAGGGTAAGGTAACTAGCTATAGGGAGGGAGGGAATGTCAGGATAGAGAGATATTTACCTCATGTGCAGTAATAGTCTGACTGATCACCTCTCTCCCCTCCCTAATGGCTGGTGTTTTATTTGAAGGTTAGATAGCAGGTGTGTGTGTGTGTGCGTGTGTGTGTTCGTATATGTGTTCGTGTGTGTGTGTGTGTTCGTATATGTGTTCGTGTGTGTGTGTTCGTGTATGTGTTCGTGTGTGTGTGTGTGTGTGTGTGTGTGTGTGTGTGTGTGTGTGTGTGTGTGTGTGTGTGTGTGTGTGTAGGGGGGAGGTTTGATCCGAGTCTTTGAATCAAGAGCCCTTCACTCACGTAACCCATGTTTTTCCTCCTTTAGGCATCAACCCATGCTTCTCCCCATTTCCAGGCATCAATGTAACCCGTGCTTCTCTCTTCAGACATCAATACAACCATGATTGTCTTCCCTCCTTCAGGCATCAATGAAACCCATGATTATCTTCCCTCCTTCAAGCATCAATGTAACCCATGATTATCTTCCCTCCTTCAAGCATCAATGTAACCCATGATTATCTTCCCTCCTTCAAGCATCAACGAAACCCATGATTATCTTCCCTCCTTCAAGCATCAATGAAACCCATGATTATCTTCCCTCCTTCAAGCATCAATGTAACCCATGATTATCTTCCCTCCTTCAAGCATCAATGTAACCCATGATTATCTTCCCTCCTTCAAGCATCAATGTAACCCATGACTGTCCTCCTTCAGGCATCAATTTAACCCATGATTGTCTTCTCTCCTTCAGGCATCAATGTCTTCGCAGTGATCCTGCACACTCATCTGCTGGGACGTAAAGTGCGGGTGCGTCACCTTCGCCAGGGCCGGGAGCTGGAGCCCATAGCTCAGGATAACAACTATGATTTTAACTACCAAGAGTACAGAGCTCTCAAACTTCCTCGGTCAATTCTACCCGTAAGTTTGACTGGTTCATGGGTTTAAAGCCTATCTACTACACAGTGGTCATTAAGGCTGCATGTCAGATGTATATCAACAGTCAAGAATACTTTAATACCTAAAGTAGGTATATATCTGTGTATATACACAGAGATATACATCTTCGGTGTATATCTCAGTGTATATATGCGAGTGTGCGCGCGTTTGTGTGTATTCACTTACCTATTTATGCTTACGTATTTGTGGTTTCAAGAGTCGAGTCACATCTCCTGGCCCGCCTCTTCACTGTGTATATATATATATATTATATATATATATATATATATATATATATATATATATATATATATATATATATATATATATATATATATATGCATATATGCACAATAAGATCACAGTAAACAGGTGATTTCAGAATATGCAGAACAACCACTGTGAAAGAATAGTGAAATTCCAGTGGGCCTGCTGCAGTGTTCTCTTTCTTATGATTCACATGTCGTCGCGCGTCAGGTGTTGCTTTGTGGGATGTGATGGTGAGGTGTGGTATAGACCATTTATATTCCTTCCTTTGATGTATTACTTTTATTGCTCTTTAATAATGTGAGTAGTCACGAAGGCGCTTGGAATTTCACTATTCTTTCACAGTGGTTGTTTTGCAAATATATATATATATATATATATATATATATATATATATATATATATATATATATATTACTGAAGGTAAATGTGTGTTTATAACCCTCCCACCTCGCTACAGTTCAGTCGTCAAAACAATAATCTCCTTCATTACTAACTCTCCTAAGCTTCCTCAACACACCATTCATTTATATTTATAATATTAGTCAATTACTCTTGCTTTTAGAGAGTTAGTCTTGCTTCTAGAGAAGAATTAGTCTCGCTTCTAGAGAAATAGTTATTCTTGCTTCTAGAGAAATAGTCTCGCTTCTAGAGAAATAGTTATTCTTGCTTCTAGAGAAAGAGTTGTCTTGCTTCTAGAGAAAGAGTTAGTCTTGCTTCTAGGTAGACAGACAGCATCGCAGGTAATGAGACTACTGTTATTACTGCCCTGGTCTAAACTACCTTGCGTTTCTGTGGGAGTCTGTCTCTCCCTCTCCCTCCCTGCTTTCCTTTCGCTTCTCTTTTCTCTCTCTCTCCCCCTCTCCATGTCCTCCCCTTTTTTCCTCGCACTCTCATACACGTTCTTCTGCTATGCTCGCCTCGTTCAGGATGTAGTTGCACCAACTCTCTCACTATTAGTCTTCTAATGATCCCGTTGGCGAGAGGAACCTTCACACTTCAGCATGTAGGCGCACCGCGTGCGCATTCTTCCACTTCGCGCGGACACTTTGGTCTACAGGAAGCAGACACTTCCCTACTGAAGGACACTTTGGGTATCTTGAGCAGCTTGGGACACGACCAAAGACGCTAGTAGCGATCACAGCCGTCCGGACTCTCTCAGATCGAGCCGCGGGGGCGCTGACCCCCGAAACTCTCTTCAGGTAGAATGCAGGTATACTTCGAGGTCATCTCCTCAACGATACTCCAGCCGATGAAATCGGTCGTCAAGAGAGCTGACAGAAATATCAACCTTTCTCCTGACGCCCTACGAAAAATAACCAGAGGGACAGAACACAGACGGTGCAATAATGTTAGAATTACCGACAGCATTTTAGGTAAAAGAATACAAGTAAGGACACGGCTTGATAAAGTTCCTAGAGAGCGAAACGTTACCACAATATAATGACACATTAGTTTCACCTGTGTCCTTTTACCCAACAGAACCCAGAGACTAAGACTAAAGTCACCATTATTGCTTCCATGTTAAAACTCTGGTTCTTTAATATGCCCACAACCACCACTGCTTCAACGATAAACGTAAGACTATAACCTCGGGTGGGGATCGAACTCACGGTAAGTGAGTCGAAAAGCTATGCTTTCGTGACTCATGGTAAGGAGAATATGATAATGCAATAGAATACCGACAAGTTGATAAGACGCATGCGCAATATTCAGGTAACTGTATTCCGAAACGTTTCTGCTGCCTCCTCTGTACTCGACTGAAGAAACCTACTGGGTAGGCGAAACGTTTGGAAATGAAGTTACTTAATGTTGCCCATGCGTCTTAAGGACTCCACATTTGCTGCTGTAGCATCAAACACCACAACATGGAGTCTGACCACTATATAACCCAGGCTGGACTTGTTACTCCTTCACTCACACCACCATCAACTACCCCGTCAACACTAACAACTTGTAGTTAATAATTCAAGCTGGACCGAAACGTCGTCAGAAGTTTCATTCTCCTATTTGAGGGTTATTTTTGTATGGAACTTTGCTCAGTTTGCAGTTCTGCCTTCCCCGGGTTATCCTGGGTGGCTAACCCTCCCTACCCCGGGGTTATCCTGGGTGGCTAACCTTCCCTTCCCCGGGGTTATCCTGGGTGGCTAACCTTCCCTTCCCCGGGGTTATCCTGGGTGGCTAACCTTCCCTTCCCCGGGGTTATCCTGGGTGGCTAACCTTCCTTCCCCGGGGTTATCCTGGGTGGCTAACCTTCCCTTCCCCTGGGTTATCCTGGGTGGCTAACCTTCCCTTCCCCGGGGTTATCCTGGGTGGCTAACCTTCCCTTCCCCGGGGTTATCCTGGGTGGCTAACCTTCCCTTCCCCGGGGTTATCCTGGGTGGCTAACCCTCCCTCCCCCGGGGTTATCCTGGGTGGCTAACCTTCCCTTCCCCGGGGTTATCCTGGGTGGCTAACCTTCCCTTCCCCGGGGTTATCCTGGGTGGCTAACCTTCCCTTCCCCGGGGTTATCCTGGGTGGCTAACCTTCCCTTCCCCGGGGTTATCCTGGGTGGCTAACCTTCCCTTCCCCGGGGTTATCCTGGGTGGCTAACCCTCCCTCCCCCGGGGTTATCCTGGGTGGCTAACCCTCCCTACCCCGGGTTATCCTGGGTGGCTAACCCTCCCTCCCCCGGGGTTATCCTGGGTGGGTAACCTTCCCTACCCCGGGTTATCCTGGGTGGCTAACCCTCCCTCCCCCGGGGTTATCCTGGGTGGCTAACCTTCCCTACCCCGGGTTATCCTGGGTGGCTAACCCTCCCTCCCCCGGGGTTATCCTGGGTGGCTAACCCTCCCTACCCCGGGTTATCCTGGGTGGCTAACCCTCCCTACCCCGGGTTATCCTGGGTGGCTAACCCTCCCTCCCCCGGGGTTATCCTGGGTGGCTAACCTTCCCTACCCCGGGTTATCCTGGGTGGCTAACCCTCCATCCCCCGGGGTTATCCTGGGTGGCTAACCTTCCCTACCCCGGGTTATCCTGGGTGGCTAACCCTCCCTCCCCCGGGGTTATCCTGGGTGGCTAACCTTCCCTACCCCGGGTTATCCTGGGTGGCTAACTTTCCCTACCCCGGGTTATCCTGGGTGGCTAACCCTCCCTACCCCGGGTTATCCTGGGTGGCTAACCCTCCCTACCCCGGGTTATCCTGGATGGCTAACCCTCCCTACCCCGGGTTATCCTGGGTGGCTAACCTTCCCTACCCCGGGTTATCCTGGGTGGCTAACCTTCCCTTCCCCGGGTTGTCCTGGATGGCTAACCTTCCCTACCCCGGGTTATCCTGGGTGGCTAACCCTCCCTACCCCGGGTTATCCTGGGTGGCTAACCTTCCCTACCCCGGGTTATCCTGGGTGGCTAACCTTCCCTACCCCGGGTTATCCTGGGTGGCTAACCCTCCCTACCCCGGGTTATCCTGGATGGCTAACCTTCCATACCCCGGGTTATCCTGGATGGCTAACCTTCCCTACCCCGGGTTATCCTGGATGGCTAACCTTCCCTACCCCGGGTTATCCTGGATGGCTAACCCTCCCTACCCCGGGTTATCCTGGGTGGCTAACCCTCCCTACCCTGGGTTATCCTGGGTGGCTAACCTTCCCTACCCCGGGTTATCCTGGATGGCTAACCTTCCCTACCCTGGGTTATCCTGGATGGCTAACCTTCCCTACCCTGGGTTATCCTGGATGGCTAACCTTCCCTACCCCGGGTTATCCTGGATGGCTAACCTTCCCTACCCCGGGTTATCCTGGATGGCTAACCCTCCCTACCCCGGGTTATCCTGGGTGGCTAACCCTCCCTACCCTGGGTTATCCTGGGTGGCTAACCTTCCCTACCCCGGGTTATCCTGGATGGCTAACCTTCCCTACCCTGGGTTATCCTGGGTGGCTAACCTTCCCTACCCCGGGTTATCCTGGATGGCTAACCCTCCCTACCCCGGGTTATCCTGGATGGCTAACCTTCCCTACCCCGGGTTATCCTGGATGGCTAACCCTCCCTACCCCGGGTTATCCTGGATGGCTAACCTTCCCTACCCCGGGTTATCCTGGATGGCTAACCTTCCCTACCCTGGGTTATCCTGGATGGCTAACCTTCCCTACCCTGGGTTATCCTGGATGGCTAACCTTCCCTACCCCGGGTTATCCTGGATGGCTAACCTTCCCTACCCCGGGTTATCCTGGATGGCTAACCCTCCCTACCCCGGGTTATGCTGGGTGGCTAACCCTCCCTACCCTGGGTTATCCTGGGTGGCTAACCTTCCCTACCCCGGGTTATCCTGGATGGCTAACCTTCCCTACCCTGGGTTATCCTGGGTGGCTAACCTTCCCTACCCCGGGTTATCCTGGATGGCTAACCCTCCCTACCCCGGGTTATCCTGGATGGCTAACCCTCCCTACCCCGGGTTATCCTGGATGGCTAACCCTCCCTACCCCGGGTTATCCTGGGTGGCTAACCCTCCCTACCCCGGGTTATCCTGGATGGCTAACCTTCCCTACCCCGGGTTATCCTGGATGGCTAACCCTCCCTACCCCAGGTTATCCTGGATGGCTAACCCTCCCTACCCCGGGTTATCCAGGATGGCTAACCCTCCCTACCCCGGGTTATCCTGGATGGCTAACCTTCCCTACCCCGGGTTATCCTGGGTGGCTAACCCTCCCTACCCCGGGTTATCCTGGATGGCTAACCCTCCCTACCCCGGGTTATCCTGGATGGCTAACCTTCCCTACCCCAGGTTAATTATTATTATTATAATCAAGGGGGAAGCGCTAAACCCGTAGGATTATACAGCGCCCAGGGGGGGATGTGGAAGGCATTCAGGCTTAATTCGGGGAACTGGAGCACAGATCCAATTCCCTAAATCAAGAGCCCCTCACCAACATCAAGGAACCTTCCATGAGGGGACCCCAGGTTAAAAATCAGCACAAATCTTCAATAATCTAAAAATTTTATAAGTTTAACAACAACGACAGACTCGTTAGGTAAGACACATATGCAACAGTTAGGTATCTTTATTGTGAAACGTTTCGCCTACACAGTAGGCGAAACGTTTCACAATAAAGATACCTAACTGTTGCATATGTGTCTTACCTAACAACCTGTCGGTATTTTATACCATTTTAATGTTCAACGACAGACTCACTTACCTGTCGAAAGCAATGTTCAGGAGGGTCAAGAATACTTCATCTGGAAATATTAACACAAATGCAGTATAATGTGATCCTTTATTGACAACGTTTCACCCACACAGTGGGCTTTTTCAAGTCACAAACGGATCTGAACATTAAAATGGTATAAAATACCGACAGGTTGTTAGGTAAGACACATATGCAACAGTTAGGTATCTTTATTATGAAACGTTTCGCTTACACAGTAGGCTTCTTCAGTCGAGTACAGAAAAGGACTGATTACATCGTCTTCAAGTATCTTCTGCTTCTATCAACTTTTCTGTACTCGACTGAAGAAGCCTACTGTGTAGGCGAAACGTTTCATAATAAAGATACCTAACTGTTGCATATGTGTCTTACCTAACACACACACGGATCTGTGTGTGTGACTTGAAAAAGCCCACTGTGTGGGCGAAACGTTGTCAATAAAGGATCACATTATACTGCATTTGTGTTTATATTTCCATTGTGTCGGTATTTTATACCATTTATTTCCAACTCATGAATTCCAAAGGAGCAGCTGAGTTCTTCCTGTCTACCGTGCCTGTTAGTCAACTCCTACTTTAAGCCATATGTCTGCTTGTTCCTGCCTGTCTGCTGGTACATAATGTACCCTCGTAGCGTCTGCTTGTTCCTGCCTGTCTGCTGGTACATAATGTACCCTCGTAGGGTCTGCTTGTTCCTGCCTGTCTGCTGGTACATAATGTACCCTCGTAGGGTCTGCTTGTTCCTGCCCGTCTGCTGGTACATAATGTACCCTCGTAGCGTCTGCTTGTTCCTGCCTGTCTGCTGGTGCATAATGTACCCTCGTAGGGTCTGCTTGTTCCTGCCTGTCTGCTGGTACATAATGTACCCTCGTAGCGTATGCTTGTTCCTGCCTGTCTGCTGGTACATAATGTACCCTCGTAGGGTCTGCTTGTTCCTGCCCGTCTGCTGGTACATAATGTACCCTCGTAGGGTCTGCTTGTTCCTGCCTGTCTGCTGGTACATAATGTACCCTCGTAGGGTCTGCTTGTTCCTGCCCGTCTGCTGGTACATAATGTACCCTCGTAGCGTCTGCTTGTTCCTGCCTGTCTGCTGGTACATAATGTACCCTCGTAGGGTCTGCTTGTTCCTGCCCGTCTGCTGGTACATAATGTACCCTCGTAGCGTCTGCTTGTTCCTGCCTGTCTGCTGGTACATAATGTACCCTCGTAGGGTCTGCTTGTTCCTGCCTGTCTGCTGGTACATAATGTACCCTCGTAGCGTCTGCTTGTTCCTGCCTGTCTGCTGGTACATAATGTACCCTCGTAGGGTCTGCTTGTTCCTGCCTGTCTGCTGGTACATAATGTACCCTCGTAGCGTCTGCTTGTCTGCTGGTACATAATGTACCCTCGTAGCGTCTGCTTGTTCCTGCCTGTCTGCTGGTACATAATGTACCCTCGTAGGGTCTGCTTGTTCCTGCCTGTCTGCTGGTACATAATGTACCCTCGTAGCGTCTGCTTGTCTGCTGGTACATAATGTATCCTCGTAGCGTCTGCTTGTTCCTGCCTGTCTGCTGGTACATAATGTACCCTCGTAGCGTCTGCTTGTCTGCTGGTACATAATGTACCCTCGTAGCGTCTGCTTCTCTGTTGGTACATAATGTACCCCCGTAGTGTCTGCTTGTCTGCTGGTGCACAATGTACCCTTGTAGCGTCTGTTTGTCCCTGGTTCACCCGACTGTTGGGTCCAGCACTTGCAGGTTTTGTCTCCAGCATCATCGATCCAAACCCATTATTTTCTTGTCCCTGCTTCAGGTTCAGCTCTATGGTGTCTAATAGATATTCTTCTCTCTTATCTTTCAGTAATGTCAGTACTAACTTCCCCTTTGAAATAATGACCAAAATATCCCCTCGATGCAGGTTCCCCCTCTACATTTTCCCTCAGTAACCACCTGTTTATACCACCTACGCCACTTGTCAGCAGACCGTTGTGCAGTGAAGGCACTCCTAATACTCCCCTGATTTACTCCCCTAACACACTCACCTAACACTCGCCTAGCCCTCTCACCTAACACACTCACCTAACATACCTAACATACTCACCTAACATACCTAACACACTCACCTAACATACCTAACACACTCACCTAACACACTCCCATAACACACTCCCCTAACACACTCACCTAACACTCCCCTAACACACTTTTCCCTGGGCGACACTATCCTCTTAGGCACCTACTAGGTTCCACATACCTTCAAGGGAGTGAGGGCTCTTGATTAAAGGGCCTGGAGCAACCCTCTCCCCTTCCAAACATCATATATGTATAAAGTTATGTAACCCGTATGGCTCACTCCTATAATGATGATAATATATACAACAAATTATTATAATTATCATCAGAGGAAAACATATTAAAATTGCAGAACAAAAATAAAAAATAAAAATTAATTTCCAGGAATAGAAATTATATTACACAGTATTATTAAAAAATTATTATAATTATTATGATGGGGAGTTAATATTTCTATTTCTGGTATTTTTATACTGTTACTAATAATGCTACAAATAATAATAATAATAATAATAATAATATCCCGCTGACTATTACTACTACAAATACTACTGTTACTACTACTACTATTGCTGTTGCTGCTACTGTTACTCTGCTACTACTACTGCTGTTATTATTATATAGTGCTGCTACTGTTACTACTGCTACTCTACTACTACTACTGCTGCTGCTGTTACTACTATTGCTGCTACTGTTACTACTGCTACTCTACTACTACTACTGCTGCTGCTGTTACTACTATTGCTGCTACTGTTACTACTGCTACTCTACTACTACTACTGCTGCTGCTGTTACTACTATTGCTGCTACTGTTACTACTGCTACTCTACTACTACTACTGCTGCTGCTGTTACTACTATTGCTGCTACTGTTACTACTGCTACTCTACTACTACTACTGCTGCTGCTGTTACTACTATTGCTGCTACTGTTACTACTGCTACTCTAGTACTACTACTGCTGCTGCTGTTACTACTATTGCTGCTACTGTTACTACTGCTACTCTACTACTACTACTGCTGCTGCTGTTACTACTATTGCTGCTACTGTTACTACTGCTACTCTAGTACTACTACTGCTGTTACTACTATTGCTGCTACTGTTACTACTGCTACTCTAGTACTACTACTGCTGTTACTACTATTGCTGCTACTGTTACTACTGCTACTCTAGTACTACTACTGCTGTTACTACTATTGCTGCTACTGTTACTACTGCTACTCTAGTACTACTACTGCTGTTACTACTATTGCTGCTACTGTTACTACTGCTACTCTAGTACTACTACTGCTGTTACTACTATTGCTGCTACTGTTACTACTGCTACACTAGTACTACTACTACTAATAATAACAATATCTGCCTGACAGGGAGACCACCTGATCGGAGAGTGTACATACAACAGTCGGGAGAGATCAAGCATCACTCTGGGAGGCTTTAAAACCAGAGATGAGATGTGTCTCTCGTATCTCTTCTACTGGCCCAGGGTGGACCTGTCTCTCTGTCACTCCAAGCCGTCTCTCAACACGGTCCTCCACTCGCTGGGCATCGAGGAGCTGTCAGCGTGAGTACTTTCACTTGGGGCTTGATACCTGTTTTCCCGTTACATTGCCAGAGTTGTCACTCTGACTCTCTTACTCTTACTCACTCACTCTCTCTCTCTCTCTCTCTCTCTCTCACTTCATATTAAGGTTGAGTGATTGAGAATCACTCAACCTTAATACTGTTTTATATCAAATCGATCCTTCACCTAGAAATATTACAGCCTACATCACCTAAAAATATTACAGCCTACATCACCTAAAAATATTACTACCTAACATTACCACCTGGAACATTACCACCTGGAACATTACCACCTAGAACAATACCACCTAGAACAATACCACCTAGAACAATACCACCTAGAACAATACCACCTAGAACAATACCACCTAAAACATTACCACCTAGAACATTACCACCTAAAACAAACATTACCACCTAGAACATTACCACCTAAAACAAACATTACCACCTAAAATATTACCACCTAAAACATTACCACCTGGACATTACCACCTAGAATATTACCACCTAAAACAACAGTGACTTAGCAAATTGAAATATCAAAGGCATAAATAAAGCAATGCTGCCATGTTGAAACCTGATCAAATTCCTTCTTCCCAGACGTAGGTACTAAATTACGTCACTCGGGGTTTTGACTACCTGCAGGGAACCATCCTACCTGGTTTGCTGCTAGCTTGTGTTGTTGTAGTGAAAGGTGGTACTTATTTTATGATAATGTAAACTTATGCTTCATGGAAACCGGTTAGCCGGGCCCGAGTCCTGGAAATGGGGAGTACATTGTGTGGACTCTGGAGGATGGGTGGGGAAAGTTGTAGTTCTGTAGGTAGGAAGTGCAGTGCCTGCACTCGGAAGGATGGGTGAGGAAGATGCAGTTCTGGAGATGGGAAGTACAGTACCTGCACTCTGAAGGATGGGTGAGGATGTTACAGTCCTGGAGGTGGGAAGTACAATGCCTGCATTCTGAAGGATGGGTGAGGATGTTAGTCCTGGAGGTGGGAAGTACAATGCCTGCACTCTGAAGGATGGGTGGGGATGTTACAGTCCTGGAGGTGGGAAGTACAGTGCCTGCACTCTGAAGGATGGGTGAGGATGTTAGAGATCAAGTCTGCCAGGACGCTATCGAAAGAGTGATGGTGTATGTGTTTTCTTCTTTGGGTCGCCCTACCTTGGTGGTCAACAATCGAAGTGGCAAATAAATTAAGATAAATTTCGATATCCAAAGCATTGTCAGAATTATACCCATCCCTTCAGCACATATAAACATTTCGTAAACACAGAAGTCTTGACCTACATCAGTGTGAGGGAGAGAGATGACGAGCGAGGTGGATGCATCTGACAAGGGTGGTGTTTAACACAGTTAAAACTGTATACAGTGGAGCCCCGGTTTTCGAACGTACCGGACGTTGAACAAACTGGTGTCCGAACAATTCTGTTCAGAAAAAAATGACCCGGTCTTTGAAGGTTTTTCCGGAGTCCGTACACGCTGACTTGTTTACAATTCAGTTGTAAAAAATCTTTACAGGAAAGCCTTATTTCCGGGTCACCATCTGGAACAGACCCGAGCCGGGACAAGACCGGCGAACCTACTACAGTACAGTTTCAAAAGTGCTTTGAAGTGACCTTTGAAACTGACCTAACTCTCAGACACTTCAACATCCTCCCAGGGAAATACTGTTTTGGACATCGAACTTTTTGCAGTTCGAAGACCACCTAGGAACCAACTAAGTTCAAATACCTGGGTTCCACTGTATATAGGTGTAATCTACCTTTCGTACCAACTGTGGGGACCAACAGTCTCGGAAAAGTTGACAAAAGAAAGCTATGAGAGAAAATATTTAGATTTCTCATTAAGTCCATTTGAATATTCCACATTTTCGTACCAACCTTACTTTGACAACTGCATTAATAGGCACACATTATATAATATGGTACAACAGCTTAACATGTATATTTTCTATAATGACAGAGATACAACGCAAGGATAAAAGGGGATACAAAGCTTAGCCAGCTTCGACGATACACGAAATATTCAATATGACTGGGAGAAACTCAATGCAAGAAATTTCCTGTGACAAGTAACCTTCAAAACGATATTCTGGGAGACATTGCAATGATTTTTAGTCTGGAAATAAGGTGAAAACCTCAGTTGTAAAAGGACACAGAAATGCAAAAACTGGGATGTTAGATTGCAAATATTTCGGTTCCATGTACCTAAGGTCGAGCGAGCTTCAAGTCAGTGGGTGCAAGTTGCAAACATTGCAGACTACACCAACAGGAGAGACAGAGAGAGAGAGAGACAGAGAGAGAGAGAGAGAGAGAGAGAGAGAGAGAGAGAGAGAGAGAGAGAGAGAGAGAGAGAGAGAGAGAGAGGAGGCAAACAATGGAGCTTATAGCACTTCGCCGTATCTTGCATCTGCTTGACATGTTGCAAGATTCTGTACGAGGCACAAGTACGCTCACACCTTGAGTATGCTCCACCTTCTTGGTTTGCCTGCCCCCCCCCTCTCATCTGCGACTGCTCGACAGAGTAGAGAACAGAGCAAGACGTCTCATCTCTCGCCTGGACCCATCCTGGATAGATCTGTCATTTCAGCAGAGCCTTCAACATAGGAGGGATGCGGGTGGTCTTACTGTTATGTACAAGGCCAATATTGTCAAAGTACCACACTTGGATCCACTTCGAGGACAGCGTGAAGTAAGCTTCTATACCACAAGACGGGCAGAAAGCAGCAACTTCACTCTGGCTGTACCCTTCCCCAGAACATCACTCCATCTGAGATCATATATACCCAGGATGACTCGAGTATGGAACATAGTCGTACAGCATAATGATGTCAACGAGATAAAGCCAGTTGATCAAATGAAAATGCTGGCCCACAGATGGCTCCAACTTCATCCTGTTCCCTACTTTTATGTCTCATAAAAACAAAAATGCTTGCAAATGAGCTGATGTAGGTAACAGCTCTTAGCTTGTCAATAAATTTAGGAATCCTTAACCTGTAAATAGCTTGACAATAAAGCTAGAGATCCTTAACCTAACCTTGTCAAACCCTGTGTAAAAAAAAAAACGAGAGAGAGAGAAAATGGATAATGTCTGGCCTCTCCAGTTCTTTCCTCAGGAGACGTGGTGGCTCCTTCCCACCAGCATCTCAAACGTCAAAGGCGTCAGCATCTCCGGCACGTTGCCTCCCTAAGGCCCAGCAGATCGATCGCCCCCCATCCTTATGCTGCAACAGATTACGTTTTCTCAGGAGGAGGAGGAGGTAGAGGGAGAACATGAGTAGGAAGAGTTGAGTAAGGAAGACGTGTGCAACACTTGGGTATCTTTTGTCGAAAGATTTCGAGAAAAAAGACACCCAAGTGTTGCACATGTGTCTTATTCATCAATAAAGACACCCAGGTGTTGCACGTGTGTCTTATTCATCAATAAAGACACCCAGGTGTTGCACGTGTGTCTTATTCATCAATAAAGACACCCAGGTGTTGCACGTGTGTCTTATTCATCAATAAAGACACCCAGGTGTTGTACATGTGTCATTAATCAACTTGTTGGTATTGTTGACAATTAATGGGATGAATAGAACGGACAAGAGGAAGAGCAGGAGGAAGAACAGGAAGTGCAAATAAAAGCAAGAGTTCTCTCTTGATGGCCGAATTCTTGTTCCATTTGTATCAATCTTTCTGAAAGCAACAATAAGGTTTTGTCAAGACTCCGTTAAAAATAACGAGAGAGAGAGAGAGAGAGAGAGAGAGAGAGAGAGAGAGAGAGAGAGAGAGAGAGAGAGAGAGAGAGAGAGAGAGAGAGAGAGAGAGAGAGGTTGTTTTCGGATCTCTGCTCACCTATTTCTGGTTGTAAGGGATCGAGTCTCAGCTCCTGATCCTACGTTTTAACTTGCCAGTTGCTGGATTCGCTTTCTCCTAGCATCGTGGAGCGTTTCCATACCCTAGGAGGAAGCAAATCCAGCAACTGGCAAGTTAAAATGCAGGATCGGGAGCTGAGACTCGACTACTTCCACTATTTCCTCCAGATCATTCCACTTAACACCTTGAGGCTGAAAAGAGTTTTTATTACGAGAGTGAGAGAGAGAGAGAGAGAGAGAGAGAGAGAGAGAGAGAGAGAGAGAGAGAGAGAGAGAGAGAGAGAGAGAGAGAGAGAGAGAGATATTTGTGACAAATACTAAACATTATGAACTATTAACCAAGCTGCAGCCAGCCGGGATTAGATGATTCTTGAAGGATCGCTGGTTAAGTGGTTAAGGCGATGTGAACATCGTTCAGTGTCTTGAGGCGGGAGAATGTGTCGCAGGATCTAATCCCGGCTGGCCGCTGCTTGGTAAATGATTCAACACTTGTTCCGTGGCTTCCTTACTATGAACGATACATTACCTCGTCTCAATCGTTATATTTTTATTCATTTCTGACTATTCCATATATAATATTACAGAATATTATAATACTATACAAAATATTACTATAGAGTAATATAATATTAATTATAGGATATATTATTTTACTATATAATATTATATATTATTATTATAGGGTAATATATTAATACCGAATAATATTACAGAAAATAAATACAAATTAATATAACGTAATGTAATATCATTAATCATGAAAGATAACATAACGTAATGTAATATAACACACAAAGTATTGAATATAGTCACTAAGAGTCATTTTTGGCTTCTCCAAAACAGAAATTCAGATCCTATTAAAATCCGACGACCGATCGAACTGGCTGGCAAGTCGTTGGAGTGGCGACTGATGAACTACGACTGGAAGAACCAGTTCGACTACTTCCAGGAGACGACCCACAGCGGTACTTTCAACCCCATCTGTTGGAGGCGAGGAGAAAGTCTCATTCCAGTAAGTTTAGTCTTGAAAATCTTATCCCACAGACTTTACGACTATCTTATCCCACAGACTTAACGGCTATCTTATCCCACAGACTTTACGACTATCTTATCCCACAGACTTTACGACTATCTTATCCCACAGACTTTACGACTATCTTATCCCACAGACTTTACGACTATCTTATCCCACAGACTTTACGACTATCTTATCCCACAGACTTTACGACTATCTTATCCCACAGACTTTACGACTATCTTATCCCACAGACTTTCAGACAATGAGCTCTCAGACTATCTTATCCCACAGACTTTCAGACAATGAGCTCTCAGACTATCTTATCCCCCAGACTTTCAGACTATCAGTCCTCAGACTATCTTATCCCACAGACTTTCAGCTCTCAGACTATCTTATCCCACAGTTTTTCAGACTATCTTACCTCTCAGACTGTCTTCTCGTACGTCTTAAAGTCTGAAGATTTAAAAATTTCTTCAGTCTTGGTCAGACGCAAAAGCTTTCAGCTGCTAATTTAAGCTTTTTTTATTTTTTTTGCCTTCGCACGTCTTATTTCACCTCTTGTCTTAGCTCTCACCTCATGTCTCAGCTCTCACCTCATGTCTCAGCTCTCACCTCATGTCTCAGCTCTCACCTCATGTCTCAGCTCTCACCTCATGTCTCAGCTCTCACCTCATGTCTCAGCTCTCACCTTATGTCTCAGCTCTCACCTCATGTCTCAGCTTTCACCTCATGTCTCAGTTCTCACCTCATGTCTCAGCTCTCACCTCATGTCTCAGCTCTCACCTCATGTCTCAGCTCTCACCTCATGTCTCAGCTCTCACCTCATGTCTCAGCTCTCACCTCATGTCTCAGCTCTCACCTTATGTCTCAGCTCTCACCTCATGTCTCAGCTTTCACCTCATGTCTCAGTTCTCACCTCATGTCTCAGCTCTCACCTCATGTCTCAGCTCTCACCTCATGTCTCAGCTCTCACCTCATGTCTCAGCTCACACCTCACGTCTCAGCTCACACCTCATGTCTCATCTCACACCTCATGTCTCAGCTCACACCTTATGTCTCAGCTCTCACCTCATGTCTCAGCTCTCACCTCATGTCTCAGCTCTCATCTCATGTCTCAGCTCACGCCTCATTTCTCAGCTCTCACCTCATGTCTCAGCTCACACATGTCTCAGCTCTCACCTTGTCTCAGCTCACGCCTCATTTCTCAGCTCTCACCTCATGTCTCAGCTCACACATGTCTCAGCTCTCACCTCATGTCTCAGCTCTCACCTCATGTCTCAGCTCACACCTTATGTCTCAGCTCTCACCTCATGTCTCAGCTCTCACCTCATGTCTCAGCTCTCATCTCATGTCTCAGCTCACGCCTCATGTCTCAGCTCTCACCTTGCCTCAGCTCACGCCTCATTTCTCAGCTCTCACCTCATGTCTCAGCTCACACCTGTCTCAGCTCTCACCTCATGTCTCAGCTCTCATCTCATGTCTCAGTTCACACCTGTCTCAGCTCACACCTCATGTCTCAGCTCACACCTCATGTCTCAGCTCATGTTTTAGCTCACCTTTTATGTCCCTTAAATGTCCTTATTTCAACTAAGTACCAAAATAAACGTGAAAGCGCTAAACCGGTATGGATGGGCCATACATTGCTTATGTAGGAATGGGAGGTAATCAAGCTTGATCCGAGGAAGGGGAGGGCGCCTCCATTTCAGTGTAGCATCAAGTTTTCCTTTTCAAGGGCATTTTAAAGGCCATTTTCTAATATTAAAAGGCACTTGGTTATTTTCCTGTCAAAATAACTTGGTTATCAATAAATGAAGAAAATTTAGCTAAGTAAATTATAAGGGCCATTTACGAACTAATTTTAAATGACAAATGGCTTTTATGAATAAAAAAAAGGTTTCTGATATAGTGACAAGCCCTGACTGACGTCTTGCTGACAAGCCCTGACTGACGTCTTGTTGACAAGCCTTGACTGACGTCTTGTTGACAAGCCTTGACTGACGTCTTGTTGACAAGCCTTGACTGACGTCTTGTTGACAAGCCTTGACTGACGTCTTGTTGGCAAGCCTTGACTGACGTCTTGTTGGCAAGCCTTGACTGACGTCTTGTTGACAAGCCTTGACTGACGTCTTGTTGACAAGCCCTGACTGACGTCTTGTTGACAAGCTTTGACTGACGTCTTGTTGACAAGCCTTGACTGACGTCTTGTTGACAAGCCTTGACTGACGTCTTGCTGACAAGCCTTGACTGACGTCTTGTTGACAAGCCTTGACTGACGTCTTGTTGACAAGCTTTGACTGACGTCTTGTTGACAAGCCCTGACTGACGTCTTGTTGACAAGCCTTGACTGACGTCTTGTTGACAAGCTTTGACTGACGTCTTGTTGACAAGCCTTGACTGACGTCTTGTTGACAAGCCCTGACTGACGTCTTGTTGACAAGCCTTGACTGACGTCTTGTTGACAAGCCTTGACTGACATCTTGTTGACAAGCCCTGACTGACGTCTTGTTGACAAGCTTTGACTGACGTCTTGTTGACATTCTGACAAGCCCTGACTGAGTCCTATGAATTCCCTGTCAAGGAGGAAAAAATGGCAGTCAACTTTACCAGGAATTTACCCGTAACTCGTTTCGAAAGATTCCTGTACCCGCGGACGGGTTACATGTACCTATACTCCTAGAACTTTACTCCCCCATTCCTGACTAACCCTAGGTACCTACCTTCCCCATTATTGACCCTAACCCTAGTACCTTCCATTCCCATTGTTTTCCTCTTAAGAGCTTCCCCATTAATGGGTTATATGCTACCCTTAAATTTTATTGAGTATTTTATTAATAGTAGTAATACCCTTACTACTGAAGCTTGTTACTATTACTACCACTATTACTACTACCACTGTTACTACTACTACCATTACTATTGCAACAATCTTATAGCTACTAGCACCACTGTTGCTACTATTACTGCTGCTACTTTCCTTCTTTCATTAATTCTGCTGCTACTACTACTACTGGTTACATTCTACTATTACTGCTGCTTTACTTCTATTCTATTACTACTCTTTCTTCCATTCTAGTACTATCACTACTATTCTATCTTCTTTCAACTTTTCCCGATCTGTTCTCTAGTCTTCTCTCTTAGACGCGACTTGACAACAGATCATAACGGTCAGAAACTCCCTGAGTTTCCTAGCTGCTGGATATTTGTGAATAATTAATTTCCTTTGTTTCTGCAGGAAGCAGAGAAACTCGACTATGAGTACCCAAACATTACGGAGGCGTGGCTGCCGGAGAACGTCTGCAGACAACGCAGAAGGAAGAGCAAGCGACGCAAGACGAAGAACGGTCGCGGCAAGAGCCGTCAGGGCGACGCAGAGGAAGGGGAGGAAGAGGAGGAGGAGGAAGAAGAGGAAGAGGTTATGTTTGATGATCAAACCAACTCCAGGCCTATAGAAAGGATTGACGTGGATCCTTTCAATCACGTTGATGTTTTCATGCCAGTGATTGAGGGAAGAGTTGAGAGTGGCCCCCAAGACCCGTTTGGAGTGGAGGAGGCTCCGAATCAGGGACTGGAGGAGGAGATGGAAGAAATGGAGAGGGACTTGGAAAAGGAACTGGCTAATAAATACCCGGACACGTTCCAAGAAAGAACCGCACATCAGAACATAGAAGGGTCAAGTTCCAACTGCCTTATATCTCAGTGGATATTGTCAATGTGCCTGTGTGTTCTGTCTCTCTCTCAGCTCTACGACAGCCACGGCTGAGGTCGAGGAATCAGGGCACGGAAGATCGCCTCTTCGATGTCGCAAGTGTATTCATTTTTAAGGACATAAACACGCGCTGTGAAAAATGTGGATTAAGCCTCCGGCTTCTTACTGCTCTCAGAGATACGGCATCTAAGAGTATCTCCCAAAGATGATGGTTCACCTGCCTTAGGAATGTGCAAAGAACCTTGGTTATTGTGTTGAGTGTTGAGACGTGTGTGTGTGTGTGTGTATGTGTGAGTGTGTGTATGTTTGGGGGAGGGAGTGGGATGGGGTTGGAGGACGCTGAAGGACGTTGAAAACCTTGTCCAAACCTCACCATCACCTCCAACCTCTGACTCCCTATATGCTACATTATCAGTGCCTCTTTTTTGTAAAATTGTCGCTTTTATGTGTTCTGGGGGCATTTCGTACGTTTTTTGTGAGAAATGTGATGAAATAGTCTCAAGGTTTTATAAATTTGTGCAAAAGTTGTAGATAATATATGGCGCAAATAAATATTTTATTTATAGAATAAAGCAAATTCAATTAGACAGCCTCACCTCAGTAGTTAATCGACACAGAAGAATTAATTTTGTATTTTAAATCCTGTACTTTACAAGTGATGTATTTTGCTTGGTGAAAGGTTCCATATATCGAGCTTCGTGTGCTTGAAAAGCCAGAAATTTCCAAGAAGCATAGATAATTTATTTTTTACGTTCCTGATCTTTTCAAAATTACTCGTAATTTGTGTGCTAGGGATGTTTAATGCCACAGTGGATGATTAGGTAATACCTGCAAGTATGGTAGGCACACCCATGGTGCAGACCAAACTTGTTATGCACTGTGTTTCGCTCTGTGTAGAGCGAAACGTTGTTCTTCAAGTTGATATCCAATTTACAGAAAAAAAAATGGCTTGAGGATTCTTTTTTTTCCATTAGAGTTTTATCTATTTTTTTAATCTCTAAATTATTTTTTGAGTTCTAAATCGTGTCTATAAACTCGGTCCATATATCTATATATATATACAAATATATATGTATATATATACATAAATTGTATAACAGTAGTATCTGTGATTAGACATTTCTGTTTCACAACAGCTCATGGGTTGATGAATCACTAAGAGGTGTGGTGTGGACCAGTGGACCAGCACACCTTCCCTAAACGAGGTGTGGACCAGCACACCTTCCCTAAACGAGGTGTGGACCAGCACACCTTCCCTAAACGAGGTGTGGACCAGCACACCTTCCCTAAACGAGGTGTGGACCAGCACACCTTCCCTAAACGAGGTATGGACCAGCACATGTTCCCTAAACGAGGTGTGGACCAGCACACCTTCCCTAAACGAGGTGTGGACCAGCATATGTTCCCTAAACGAGGTGTGGACCAGCACACCTTCCCTAAACGAGGTATGGACCAGCATACCTTCCCTAAACGAGGTGTGGACCAGCACATGTTCCCTAAAGTATGGAGCAATGGACCAGTACACCCTCAACACTACGAGATGTGGTCAAGTGGACCATCACACCCCTTTATACAAGGTGTAAAGCAATGAACCAGCACACCTCAACACTACCAGGTGTGGTCAAATGGACCAGCATTCCCATCTCGTTACTACAAGGTGTGGCTCTAGCCACTGGTCCAGCATAACACCTCTACTTCACAAGGTGCAGTTCAGATACACAGACTAGCACACCTCCAGCCTCCGTCTAACCCTTCAGAATTAACACTTCTCTTGTTCAACTGTTTACACCTACACGAAATTACACCAATAGAATAATGTACAGGCGTATGGAACACAATATACTGAACGAGCTTTAACTGGGACAGTTATCAAAATGATTTAAAACCCGACAAGTTGAAGAATTAAAGACTTTTGCAACATCTGGGATTCTTTACTGTGGAAATGTTTGATAGCTTCCTCAGTCACATACAGAGATGAATAGAGGAGTTTGAGGTAATCAGTCCCTCAGCCTCGAGTCGACTTGTTCAATCTTAAATGTTGCAAAAGTATTTAATTCTTCAACTAGGACAAAGTTTGGTTCCTAGAAGAGCTTTAGCAAGCACTTAATAAAGCTCTAGGGCGAAACGTAGACCCAGATAAAGCTTATTCTTCATAATGTGCACCTCAAAAAAGCTCTACTACATAATGAGCTCATCCCCACAGTTTTAAAATGATGATTTCTACGAAAAAGCAAACTTAGAATTTGTGTGCAGAAGTTTAGAAGCCTTAGACATTTAGAATCACTTTCTAAATTGAAAAGGGAAGTGAGTTTTTGGGAACAAGTAAAAATTAGAAAAATTATGGTGAAAGTCAAGCTAGTGAAATTATTTTAGAACATATATATATATATATATATATAATATATATATATATATATATATATATATATATATATATATATATATATATAAAGCCAGAGGCTTATGTAACGCGCTAAACCCGTGTGGGTAAATCAGCACAAGGAATGGTGAAGGCTCGATCCTCTGTCCCTTCTCTGACCCATCAGGACGAAGGGTTGTAGAGTCGGAATTTACTAAGTGGACGTCAGAATGGATATACTCAGCGGCTTTAAAAAACAAGAAGGCGTTTGGGCTGCAAATTTCTGACCGAGGTCTGTAATGCTGGTATATATGGTGGCATATATACCCTGAGTATGGTGGCATATATACCCTGAGTATGGTGGCATATATACCCTGAGTATGGTGGCATATATACCCTGAGTATGGTGGCATATATACCCTGAGTATGGTGGCATATATACCCTGAGTATGGTGGCATATATACCCTGAGTATGGTGGCATATATACCCTGAGTATGGTGGCATATATACGCTGAGTATGGTGGCATATATACCTGAGTATGGTGGCATATATACCCTGAGTATGGTGGCATATATACCCTGAGTATGGTGGCATATATACCCTGAGTATGGTGGCATATATACCCTGAGTATGGTGGCATATATACCCTGAGTATGGTGGCATATATACCCTGAGTATGGTGGCATATATACCCTGAGTATGGTGGCATATATACCCTGAGTATTGTGGTATATATACTTTGTGGTGGAGGCCCCAGCAACCAGAAATCTGCTGCCGTCAACCAACTTGTAAACTGACACGTGGAAGTAGTCTATTAAAACGTTTCGCCCAGAGTTTCGTCTTGATTTAAACGTAAGTCATGTACAACAATTGGTTACCTTTATTGCCGAAACGTTTCGCCTAACAGGTTTCTTCAGTCGAATACAGGAGAAACACTGGCAGCAACGCAGACACCCAGGTGTTGTACACGTGTCTTATTCATCAATAAAGACACCCGAGTGTTGCACATGTGTCTTATTCATCAGTAAAGACACCTAGGTATTGCACATGTGTCTTATTCAACTCAGCAGGCCTACTGGCCCATACCAGGCACGTCCTCCTCAGAACCAACCCTTCCCACCTCCATACAAGACTAACCTAATCTAAAACTACCTAACCCTGATAAACCTCCGAGCGAAACATCGTTTTAAAGACCTTCCGTGTCTGCTTAACGCCTATCCAGCAGTTGAACACCAAATATTACGAGACGAGACATGTGCCTCTTTAAACCCAAGTTGAGAGCTTCCAAGATTGAGATTATACTAAGAATCTGTTCCCTATAATGCTGTAGTTTCCCTAACTTAGCTTGGAATTCGAGAAAACACAGGTCGTGCGCTATTGTGATAGATCCCATATAGAATACTGTACCTTAAAAGAACCATGGTATAGTTAGGGATTGAGCTTACTTGCCGCGAGTTCAATCCCTACCCGTACCGTGAATTGTTTGCAATCGTGTCATTACGATTTTGTAAGTCGTACTGTACCTTAAGATGAATAAGAAATTGAGTCTGGAGATGAAAGGGAATTGTAACAACGTGATGGTACGCGGTGTTTATGATTGTCATGTTAGTACCTACTCTGTGGGGAACGTTGTGTTTAAACGAACGTTATATTGAACGTTCTTGTGAACGTTTTGAATACCGCATGGGGCATACAGCGCCTGAGGAACGGGAACTAGTGTGTGTGTGTGTGTGTGTGTATGTGTGTGTGTGTGTGTGTGTGTGTGTGTGTGTGTGTGTGTGTGTGTGTGTGTGTGTGTGTGTGTGTGTGTGTGCGCGTGTGTGTGTGTGTGTATGTGTGTGTGTATGTGTGTGTGTGTGTGTGTGTGTGTGTGTGTGTGTGTGTGTGTGTGTGTGTGTGTGTGTGTGTGTGTGTGGTGTGTGTGTGGTGTGTGTGTGGTGTGTGTGTGGTGTGTGTGTGTGTGTGTGTGTGGTGTGTGTGTGTGTGGTGTGTGTGTGGTGTGTGTGTGTGTGTGTGTGTGTGGTGTGTGTGTGTGTGTGTGTGTGTGTGTGTGTGTGGTGTGTGTGTGGTGTGTGTGTGTGTGGTGTGTGTGTGTGTGGTGTGTGTGTGGTGTGTGTGTGGTGTGTGTGTGGTGTGTGTGTGTGTGTGTGTGTGGTGTGTGCATGTGTGGTGTGTGCATGTGTGGTATGCGTGTGTGGTGTGTGCATGTGTGGTATGCGTGTGTGGTGTGCGTGTGTGTGTGATGTATGTGTGTGGTGCATGTGTGTGTGTGTGTGTGTGTGTGTGTGTGTGTGTGTGTGTGTGTGTGTGTGTGTGTGTGTGTGTGTGTGTTGTGTGTGTGTGTGTGTGTGTTGTGTGTGTGGTGTGTGTGTGGTGTGTGTGTGTGTGGTGTGTGTGTGGTGTGTGTGTGGTGTGTGTGGTGTGTGTGTGGTGTGTGTGTGTGGTGTGTGTGTGGTGTGTGCATGTGTGGTGTGTGCATGTGTGGTATGCGTGTGTGGTGTATGCGTGTGTGGTGTGTGCATGTGTGGTATGCGTGTGTGGTGTGCGTGTGTGTGTGATGTATGTGTGTGGTGCATGTGTGTGTGTGTGTGTGTGTGTGTGTGTGTGTGTGTGTGTGTGGTGTGTGTGTGTGTGTGTGTGTGTGTGTGAGAGAGAGAGGAGAGAGAGAGAGAGAGAGAGAGGAGAGAGAGAGAGAGAGAGAGAGAGAGAGAGAGAGAGAGAGAGAGAGAGAGAGAGAGAGAGCACATTCACTAGCACCTATGCCCTTCTTGCTAACGAAGACTGTTCTGGTCAATACTACACAGTTATTAACTGTATTCTACAGTCAGTAAGAGAAACTGTAATGGATACAGTCCTATTTTTTGTTCATCTTCCTATTAGCCTACAGTCCACCCATTTTTCCAGTCACAGACTGGCCAATTAAGTTTATATGTCAGTTTGTCTCTCAGTCAATGTCCAGTTCAATGATTTCCTATCTACCCCTTGATGCTGAAGGGCTCTTGATCCAAAGAACTGGAGCTACCCGTCCCTTAGATCGAATCTGATTGCGTCCCTATTCTCCAAAAGCTCTGTTTTGAACTTCCGGATTTAGCGCTCCCCCATGAAATGAAACCTACCCATTAACCAGACATTCAATTACCCCCATTTGGAAATGGGAGTTTACCCATGATATGAAACCTGGCTACCTCCACATTACCCAGACATCGTTACCCCATTTGGAAATGGACCCTCCCCATGATAATCCTATTTCTTACGACTTGCAGTCAATTCACCCTATTCACCCAGTTTTATCAAGTTTGACGTGTGCAACACTTGGGTGTCCACATTTGAAGACATTTCGCGCACCAGTGGCTTTTTCAGTTCAAAACAGAAATGATATACGAGGACAGAAGAAGATGAGGTAAGCAGTCCCTCAGTCTTGCAATACAATATACAGAAGACAGTGGAAGACGAGGAAGTCAATCCTTGCAGAATTTCCACGGTCTTGTGTGTATAGTCCTGCAACACAGAGGGGACTGATCACCTAATCTTCCACTGTCCTCGTATACCTCAATAAACAACTGATAAAGCCACTGGTGGGCGAAACGTTTACAGACACTCATGTGTTGAACATACGTCTTACTTATCAACTTGTCGGTATTGTATACCAGACAATTTCCTGTACCCATTTGGTAGCTGGGTTTATCCTCTGGTATACCTCAGCAAGTTGCGTGAGGTTTACTTCGCTCCTGTAAACCTCCACTCAACCTCAAGATAATTAAACCAGTTAACGGTCAACTAAAACCCATTTAAATCTAGAATTCAGTCCAGATTATTTTAGTAAATTCAATCGTTACTCATTTAGCAATCATTCTGCTGGTCTAGAGTCAGTCATTCTGCTGGTCTAGAGTCAGTCATTCTGTTGGTCTATAGTAAGTCATTCTGTTGGCCTATAGTCAGTCATACTGTTGGTCTACAGTCAGTCATTCTGTTGGCCTATAGTCAGTCATTCTGTTGGTCTACAGTCATTCTATTGGTCTATAGTCAGTCATTCTGTTGGTCTATAGCAGTCATTCTGTTGGTCTATAGTCAGTCTGTTGGTCTACAGTCATTCTGTTGGTTCTACATTCTGTTGGCTCTACAGTCATTCTGGTGGTGTACAGTCATTCTGTTGGTTCTACAGACATTCTGGTCTACAGTCATTCTGTTGGTTCTACAGACATTCTGGTCTACAGTCATTCTGTTGGTTCTACAGTCTTTCTGGTCTGCAGTCATTCTGTTGGTTCTACAGTCATTCTGGTGGTCTACAGTCATTCTGATGGTCTACAGTCATTCTGCTGGTTCTGCAGTCATTCTGTTGATTCTACCTCCTGGTGGTTCTACAGTCATTCTGTTGGTTCTACAGTCATTCTGTTGGTTCTACCTCCTGGTGGTTCTACAGTCATTCTGTTGTGTCTACAGTCATTCTGTTGGTTCTACATTCTGGTGGTTCTACAGTCATTCTGTTGTGTCTACAGTCATTCTGGTGGTTCTACAGTCATTCTGTTGGTTCTACCTCCTGGTGGTTCTACAGTCATTCCAGTTATATTTCTATTGATTTACAGTCATTCCATCCCGTTTAAACAGTCAACAGTCATTCCCGTTGACTGTGCTTTCCTAAGGGAGTTAAATATAACATTAACTGGGGCATCTTAAGGGGTGACTCAGCGCCCATTACGAGTTTAGCGCTTCATCAAGTAACAGGTCATTTCCAGATCTCGACTCGTTCCTCCTGAAGCCTGGGTAGCTACCTGAAACCGGTTTCACGGGTTATTTTACTCTCAAGAGCCAGGTTTCATTACCTGCCTGGTCAACCAGACTGTTGGTGCCAGAGGAATGCATACCCTGACACGACAGCTTGTTTGAACACTTACTTTCCCTATTGTCTAGTATCAGGAAGTGATAAAATACAACTGTATTATTGATTTTTATTACTATTATATTGCTACTAATATTTTTATATTATTTATTGTATTTTCAT